ACTTTGTAGTACAACTTTAGTACGCGGAGTATCTGGGGAGCTGGAAGCTGAGAACTGGCGACTTTGCAGTGCAACTTTAGTACGCGGATGAGTCATCTCTCGCGGCTGAGTCATCTCTCGCAGCTGCTCTGGCGCCCCTGCAGCTGAGTCATCTCCCGACCACCCGGCTCTCTTAAAAGGTTGACACACACACAGAGACCCACGCACTGCCTCAACTTACTCGGAGACACACGCACAGACATAGATACACGCACACAGAGACCCACACACTGCCTCAACTCACTCGACTTAACACTTCACACTGAACACTTAACAGATAACTCACACTCTGACTTCCTACGTGATGAAAAATGCTTTCGGGCCACTCGTCGTCTAGTATACAGATGTTTTTCTTCTTCAAAGTAAAACATGTTTATTATTGTTATTGCTATTCTTATATATTATGTATTATTACAATCATTCTTCTGGGATAAGCCGTGAAGACTACAGGGGTACGGGTGGTTAGTGCCAAGTAGCTAGGACGCAGAGGAACCTTTTGCGTGGTGGAAACAGTTCTTGGATTCGAGAAATCGAGAATAATCACGAAGGCTAGCTTTAGCTAGCTGGAGTCTGCTTTGCTTTAGCAAGCCAACCTGAGTCCGAACCCCTGATATATCAGGGATATACCCCCCGCCGGGGGTTCAACTCCCTCCTTCCCCCCTGACCGTCTGACCGTTTCTCAGTCGCTGTTGCTGTTGCTGCTTCTTTGCCGCTGCTGCTGCTGCTGCTGTTTCTATGTTTCTTTGTTGCTTCTTCTTTGCTGCTGCTGCTGCTGCTGCTGGCTGCTTGATGCTTGCTGCTTGCTGCTTACTGTTTGTCTGCTGCTGCTGCTGCTGCTGCTGCTGCTGTGGTTTGGCGGTGGTGCTGGTGCTGCTGCTGCTGCTGCTGCTTGGTTTGCACCAACCACGGTTTACACCAAACCACCACTTGCACCAAACCACAGTTTAGACCAAACACCGTGGTTTGCATCAATCACCGTTTACACCAAACCATGGTCTACACCAGCCGCGGTTTACACCAAAGCACAGTTTAAACCAACCACGGCCACGGCTTACAGTTTACACCAACCAACAGTTCACACCAACAGAAACATGTTTTTGAGATCCCAGCTGTGATTGTTCCTTGTTTGCTTTTTATACCTGTCCGTGTTGGTCACTCGTGCATTTGCTGCTGCTGCTGCTGCCGCAGGTTGGTGCTGTTTTGCTGCTGCTGCTGCTGGGGTGGTTGTGCGTTTCCTGTGTTGGGGTTGTATTGGGGGGGTACTGTTAGCACTCTCCTCCTTTGCCCTCCTCCATGATATGCTGCGACTCCCGGCCTGGGCTCTGCTGCCGAAAAGGCACCAGCCCCCTGGCCACAAGTATGATTCTGAGTGGAAATCCTCTTCTGTGACTTTGCCCTTGAATAAGTGTAGACGACGGAATGAATCATGTGTATGCTAGGGGTCAGCAGAGAATCGCTGGATTTGCGAACTATTTTTGTAATTTTGTGTCAATCAACATAATTTTCAGTTTCTAGATAGAGTGAGTGTAGGAATGACACTCCACCCCATGGATTTGGATTGTGTTTAGACTTCAGTCTGCCTCAGCTTCTGGGCATTTGTCAGACATTTTGTGCTTGGCTGATGGCTTCTGGAGGTCCCTTCGTAAGATCACAGGCGCAGCAATGCGCTGCAAGATCTTGGCACTAGGCCAGCAGCTGGTTTGGGCAGAAGACCGGAATGGGCCGAAGTTTATGAATGCTTATGCCAAGGTCCCTACAGTAGCTGCAATCCTTTGACAATTTCCAGTTTCCGGCCACGTCCAAATTTCAAACGAGTTGACAGAAAGGTCACGAAGTCTCTGGTTTCGAATGGTGCCTTCTGCAGCTTGGCATCGATGTGCGACATACTAGGAGCTCAGACACTCCCAGGGAAGCGTGCGAAGCGGGAGATCGAGATGGCATGGCATGCCGTGGCTGTATCTAACTCTCTCTCTCTCTCTCTTTCTGAAGTTGGAGTTGTAGAAGATAACCAGAGCCTGCACTGACGAAGTGAGCCTAACATTGCTTTGACTCCCAGAACTAAGGGCGCTAGCTTTCAGCTGTTCAAGCAATACAGACAGATGATGGTAGTACAGCAGACACAGAATCCCTTGCACTACAGTATGCAGTTGATGAGGGGGTGCAGAACTTTGCAGCAACTTTACAAGCAGGGTTTGGATGGGTTTGGTGAACATTCATTCATTCATTCATTCATTCATTCATTCATAATGTTCATAGAACAATTTTTGGATAGGGTATGTCACGAAAGCGAGCTCTATATAAAGGAGATTTGCCGAAGTTTTCGTTTACAGAGGAAGGCTGAGAACTGATAGTCGCAAAGGATCGAATTATTGATACTACAAAAGGCACCCCCTCACCTCGCTTTGCATGAGAGAATCACTTCGACCCCAACGAATTGATTTCGTGTTGATCTACGGGGGCCCGTAAGGTTCGACACTTAGCTATTTCGCAAGCAGTCCTGCCATGACTACGCTTGAGCACACAAGAACATCAAAAACTATCCGCAACATGGACTACAGTATATTATAAATGTATACAAGATGGGCACGATGAGGGGGCATGGGCTGATCGCCCACACACTATCCACCACCCACCACACCACGCCCCACCACCAATAGCAAGGAACGTGCCACTTTCCCTCAGGCTGGCTGGCTGGGATGGGCGGCGCTTGCCTGTCTCAGCGACTTGACTTTAGTTGGCTGGGCTTCAATTGTGAGGTCTGAACCACTATATGGCTGTGGGTCAAAACCTGGAGCCCCAAAACCTGGTAGGTTGACATTTGTTCATTTTCGGTGGTCAACCAGGGTTATTTGGAGAATGCAGCGATGGGACCTCGGATCAAGAACAAAACAAATCTTGACCGGGGGCCGGGGGTCTAGATAATGGCATCAGGATAATTTATGACCTGAAGAGTTTCATGGATCAAACCAGACCCATGCTCGGTTCTTTGAGGTTTTGGCCTTGCCGCACTCAGACAACCCAGGCCAGGCTTGTTTAAACCCCTACAGTTGCCATGAATGATGCAGGCTGCAGGTCTACTAACCTGCAAGTGAAGGGACAGATAGAAACCCAAATCTGTGCATTTGAGGTGTCCTGACCGCCCTGCCACTCTTTGATGTCCTAGCCAACATGGCACCTGAGTCATGCACTTCGGCTGGATGGCCCAGGAGGAACTGTTTTGTCTTGGCTGGAAGATGAACTGTGCTTGGAAGGGTTGTCGTGTTTGTCAATATTCACTGAACAGGGTCACTTTCTTCCTTTGTTGCCAGGTACTGTAACCATCACGTCCGCAGTGTGATTCGCTAATAGCAATCAGTATATAGGTCTTTTTGAGCTTCGAGGCTTGACTCGCCATGAGCATCTTTGCGAGCGTGCCCCAGGCGCCGGCGGATCCCATCTTGGGCCTGGTAGGACGTTTCAAGGCCTGCACAGCTGAGAAGAAGGTGAATCTCAGTGTCGGAGCTTATCGTACCGCAGAGGGCAAGCCATGGATTCTCCCTTCGGTTGCGGAGGCAGAGAAAATGGTGATCAGTGACACCAAGCTCGACAAGGAGTATCAGCCCATCGATGGCAAAGCGGAGTACAAGCGACCAGTCCAAGAGTTGATCTTTGATGCTGATGTGATTGACAGCGGTTGCCTTGCGACCGTCCAAGCACTGTCAGGGACTGGCTCCTTGCAATGCATTGCCCAATTCTTGAAGTTCATGGGCGTGACAAAAGTCTGGGGTCCGAACCCTACCTGGGGCAATCATCCCAAGATTTTCCAGCGTGCGCTGCTTGAGTATGACATGTACCCCTATTGGCACCAGGAGAGTCGTGGGTTGGACTTTGAAGGAATGATTGCAGGCATGCAGAAGATGAATGAGGGTGATTGCATTCTCTTGCACTCAGTTGCACACAATCCCACTGGTGTAGACCCCACACCTGAGCAGTGGCAAACCATTGTGCAAGTTTGCAAGGAAAGAAGACTTATTCCGCTGCTGGACAATGCCTACCAGGGCTATGCCAGTGGTGACTTGGCCAAGGATGGCTATGCCCAGAAGCTGTTCACGCACAGCGGCCTCGAGTTCTTCATTGCTCAATCCTTTGCAAAGAATTTCGGACTTTATGGTGAGCGCATTGGGTACATTCATGTGAAGTGTGCCTCGAAAGATGCCGCGGACGCAGTGCTCTCGCAGATGAAGATCATTGTGCGACAGGCTTACTCCAGCCCTCCGCAGCATGGTGCTGCGATAGTGAACAAGATCCTGACAACTCCGGCCTTGAAGGAGATGTGGCTCAAAGAGCTCACTTTCATGTCATCTCGCATCAGTGACATGCGCACTGCACTTCGGGGTGCAATCGAGGCCAAGGGAACCCCTGGAACGTGGAATCATGTCACAGATCAGATTGGCATGTTCACCTTCACGGGCTTGACGAAGGATCAGGTGGTGCGCATGGTGGAGGAGTTCCACATCTACATGACAGCTGACGGCCGTATCTCAATGGCAGGTCTGAACCCTGGAAATGTCGACTATGTGGCCGAGAGCATCGACAAGGCAGTCAGGGGACTTTGATTCCACACCGACCGGAACTCTCCCGAATGTGCCATGAGGGTGGGCATTCAAGATGCTCAAGTACTCAAGCTAAATAATGGCACTTACGCTGCGTGGCTCCCAAAATTGTGAGACTGAGTCGTGGCGAGTCGCTAATCCACTCTTGATCTCTTTTGAACGATCAGGTTTGACAATTTGCTGGTCAAGCTGACTGTCCAAAATCAGCCAGCGATGACGGGCCTCGCGGCCTAGCGGCGGGATTTTCCCTGCCCCCCAGGATTCCGCAGTTTGCCAAACTCATTTGATTCTGACAAGCTGCTGAATTCAACATAAATCAAAGGAGTCCTGGAGGGAACCCTTTTATTCCCCAGGCCTTACTATACGAACAAGGCGCAAAATAATTCCATCTTGAGTGGCCGCCTGTGACACTACTTGGATTCAAATCGATGGCTTGATGACATCCGACGGGATGATTTTAGGCGGAGGTCGCAAGCTTGGGCATGGAGGCGTCCGGAATTCTTTGGGCCCTGAGCTTGGAGAGGAGACAGAGGATAAAAGGGGATGAAAGAAACTGCATGGCTGAGTGGGCGAAGATGGCTGCTGAGACTAAGCACCGAATCCCAAAGGATTCTGATCTTTGGGGTTTCCGCAGAAAGTCTTTTCTCTTTGAGGAGCATGCATCACAAAATCCACCTTTCAGTTCATGTGCACTATGGCAACCAGGTCTTGTGGTCGAATGGCCGGCTGGATGCCTTCAACCTGCCGGCACCTCAATTGGTACAGACCCAAAACTGCTTGCCCTTAGCGATATCGGCCTGAGGTTGAAGGGTCGGCATGATGGTTCCTGGAGACCGCACTGGCCCATGCGCCGGCCTAAGAAGCAACCTACTATCACCTTTGCTCCTACTAGCGTCCTTGCTCCTAGTAAGGCACTTGTTACTAGAAGCGATGCACTTGTTCCTAGTATATAGCTTCTTGCTTCTATAAAATCATTTGGTGACCTGGAAATCTAGGAGACTTCCAAAGAGCCAAGGCAGCCGCGCTCAGTGTGCCCCAGTCCTTTGGGAGACGCACCAGGCAAGGTGGGGGTTGATGAGAAGGGGCGCTGGTTCTTGTTTGCTGGAGTTCCTGCTTTCAGAACTTGAACTCATGACTCCCCATGAATCTGGACCCAAAACAGCGAGCCTGTTTTGCAAATGCGGACTAGGATTTGTTGAGACATTCCCAAACTGTATCAACAGTCATATCTCAGCAGGCAGGTGCCTCGTTGGCTGCTTCGACTCACAATGAGAGAATTTCAGGTTCGAAGGTAGCTCGTTGGAGACCAAGAGGTATCTTAATCTTTGGTGGCTCTGTGATGCCCTCAATAGCAATTTCATGCAACTTCCACATGAGTCAATCACACTCTTCAGATGTCCTATATACATCTATATACCATGTCTAATTATGTCCATTTTGTACACTTCTTTGCGCGTACACTCAAACTCGTGGACCGCCTCAACGAGTGGCTATCATCGACTTCCCCACCATGGGATACCATGCGCTAGTAGGGTGGAGGTCATTGCTGTTAAGACGCTTCACCTCTCCCAATCCAGCCTGAGGCTCCCGGCTATTGATCCTGGGCTCTCGTGGCCCCTGGCCGGAGCTCTGGCGAGGGGCGATTCGCCAGGTCATGTGAGCACTAAGCGGCAGAGCCAGAGCCACGGAGGTTTGAAACTGAAACCATGTGAGGAGAGAGAGGTGAGGAGAAACATGTTTGAACCATGTGCAGAAAATGGTGAGTGATATTTAATGATATATATATATATATCATAAATCTGTATATATTTCTTCAATTCGACTGCGCCTATCTCGACAAGCCTCTCCTGCTTTCGGAGCCTCAAGAGGATGGGCCAAAGTGCCCTCGAGCTTAAGTTGCTGACACGTCTCCGTTCACCCGGAGATTGGCTGTGTACATAGCGAGTGGTGTCCCACAGGGTGCAAGACAAGGATCTCTTTGGTGAGTGGTTTGACAGCCTGTGATTTTGAGTTTGATGTGTCGGGCTTTCAATACTCATGGAAAGTCTTCAGAGGTTGAAAGATGTCCGAGATTTCCACGTCATGCGAGACGGTCATGTGGCTCTTGGTTCACCCTGTGGACTTATTTGCTTCGAAGCATCGCGTCAATCGAGATTGGAGCGTACAAAAACGGCAGCACGCACCAGGCAGCAACTAGGCAAAGAAAGGCAACGCCGACGGGCCGATGTCCACTAGGCCGAGGTGATCGACCTGGATATCGAAGAGCCGCCCGTCAAGCGGCACAAGGCACTCAGCGTTGTGCAAAGGTCTTTGGGTGATTTTGGGTGTGTTGTTTAACAGAAGGACCTGAGGGAAACGCAATAATTAGGATCCCCTTTCAATTATATATATAACATTAAGAGAAATGGGTATCAAGAACTGACGTGAAGCCCCGTCATCCCTTTGCACAGGCAGGAGCAGCTCCAAAGCCGCGGCCTGCAGTGGATGCTCCAAAGCCGTCACCTTGGCCCTCTCAAACGCTTTGTCAGTGGACGAACAAAGTCATTTGCTGAGACAAGAAGTTTGGACATGATTGAAACACTTTTTGTGTGATTGTGCTTTCATGAAGATTAGACATCCACTTACCAAATCTGATAAAATCTGGGCATTGGAGACTCCAGTCTTTGTTTCAATCTGAGGTGCAGATGTATTGGATATACGTCATTGCAAAAACTTTCCGCTCGTCACTGTTGGGCTCGCTTGGCCTTCACCATGTCAGGCCACAAAGCCACGCAGCGATGCAAAGACCTGTTTGCAGTGCTTTGAATCCGATTGCGAAAGGTGTGCGTAGGAGGCGTGCCCGGAAGTGAACATGCACAGAAGACAAAACATGTCCTGAAAAGTAGTGTTTTTCCTCTTCTTCAACAGATTTGTCTTAAAGGCTATATAATTGTTCCATCGTACAGTATTGAAGCTACTTAACAATCTAGTGACGGTCTTTTTGCTTGACTACTTTGTTGCAGAATCAGCTGCAGACTTCAGATTGATCCCCTTCTCAGGCCAATGTCCGATGCAACCGAAGTCCTTGTGCCAAGCTCCAAAGCTCGCTCGCAACCAGCGGCCAAAGCTGCTGCGTCAAAGCTGCGTGAGGCTTTGCCTGCTGATGCACCTGCTGGTGCAAAAAGCAGGCTTGAGGGAATGTAAGAGTCGGTTTGAAGTAGGAGAAACATGGAGAAACATGATTAGAGGGATGCGAGGGTTAGTGACTAGTGGTCCAGATTTGCCAAAGAACTTCTTCACATTAGATCATTGTCATGGAGCATGCTGTTTGTGCGCCATTTGCTTGACGAGGGGAGTGGGATATATATATATATAATGTTCCCTGCCTTAGGGGAAATTAACGTGACTACTGAGTCTCGGATTAATTTTCTGGGATTCATTTTTCTCGATGGTAGGATTTTGGTCATAGTTTCGTACAAACATTCTGGAAATTGATCCTACTATCAGATTTGTAGGTTGAGAGTACCGTGGATTAATTTTGAGACGTGGAGGTTTGAGGAATATTACTGTAATCATGAGGTGATGCAGAAGTGGAGCCACCCCTGGATTATTTTCTGGGAGTGCTCAAGCGAAGGCTTGCTATGACCATTACACAAGAAACAAAACTAAAAGCAACTGCATAGAAAGGAGCCACACAGTTACAGTAATGACAATCAATCACAATGATATTATCATGATTATATGATACTATAGTGACAGAATATGATTACACGGATGCCTACAGTAATGTATCCTTAGAAGAAGGAAATCAATCCAGCACTTATAGGGAATTTGTTTCAGGGAAGCCATGTCGCACGTACCACCGGCTGGTGAACCTATTGCATGTGGCATCGCTCGATGTCTGGGCGCACCCCTGGATGAATTTCAACCCCCCCCCAGCCTAAAAATCAATCCAGACTCAACATCCTCCAGATTAGTTTTCTGAAAACGCTCTGGAGGTAGTCAGATTACTGTAATTTAAAAACTAATCCACCCCTCTACTCTCCATCTTGGAAGGGTACATTATGTATATAGCTATGTGAAACGAGAAGATTGAAGTCTATATCACATGCTCAAAGTTCGAGT